CTTCTGCAGGTGTCTACAGTTCTCTTAAAGCAACCTTCAAATTTCGCCGTCGAATCCAAAATTTCATGCTCGGTTTCTACATCCCCTCAATCCTGACCGTCATGCTTTCCTGGGTGTCCTTCTTTATCAGTCCCAACTCGGCTCCTGCCCGCTGCGCCCTCGGTATCATCACAGTTCTTGCTATAGGAGGCTTCTTGACCGGTCAGCGAAAGTCTTTCCCAACTGTGTCTTACGTGATGGCCGCTGACTCGTTCATACTGATTTGCTATGTGTTTGCATTCCTGGCCTTGTTGGAGTATGCCGCTGTACATTATTTCTTTGTTTACGACAAGCAGTTGTATCAAATGAACAAGGCAATGGTAAGTCTACTGTACTTCCTCATGAATATGTGGTTTACAAAAATGTGACTAAGGACAGTGGCGTAACCAGGATTTTCCGACGGGGGAGGCCAAAATTAAAAAATCCGCCATTGTGTTTGAGGCATCGAAACGCGAAACAAACGAAAAAGATTAAAGAACCACATTAATTTTTACGTTTTATTTTTACAAACTCTAATAAGCCGCAATTTTTGTTGTCACGAAGCTACGAGGCTTGACTATCCTCCTGCATACATCCCTAAAGTTATTTTCTAACCTTTTAAACTTATTCTTACAAGTTTAGTTTTATTCTTTAGGGAAAAAAAATGAAAGGAAACACCAACGAAAACTTCATCGACGAAGGAGAATACGAACCAGGAGATGAGGAAGAAGAAGAAGAAGTCCAGAAAACCGAAAAAGCCAAGCCCAAGGAGGTCTTCGTGACTCCAATTGAAGCGTTTAACAGCAACAGCGCCGACATGACCCTCCCAACCACCGAGAAGAAAGGCAAGAAAAAGAGAAGCTTGTGTAATATTCTCTATTCCATTCTGACCTGGCCATCGAGGCTGTTTACCACTATCAAGGAAGATGCGTTGATCATTGATAAAGTTGCTCGAGTTGTCTTTCCCTTGAGCTTCGCCATTTTTAATGTTATTTACTGGTCAATCTATAAGACTGAGCATAATAGTGACGTCTTGAAACACTAATGTTGCAACAATAACTCATTTTCGATTTAGCTTACTATCAATAGATGTCATTTCAAGTCAGGAATATAGTTTCTAACAGCTAAAGGCCAAGCTGCTTTCGATAGTAAGTGTGCATAGTTGTTAGCACATGCTGACTGGCAGTGTTGGCGCTGTCATTGTGGTCTGCCAATGAGACTGGAGATTCATAAGATTCATTCAGCTGGTTGAGACGAGTAATAGAATACTCTCTGGTTTTTTAGCACATGATAGCAATAGCAAAAGCTTTCAATAGTAAGTGAGCGTAGTTGTTAGTAGATGACGGCAATGCCGGTTTGCCTTAAGATTAATTGTACTCGGGGTCATGCAATCGTTTTTCATCCACAATACACAAAAATTCATACAAAAAAGTGTTTGTGGGCGTGTTTTTCACGAAGTACGAAATAAGGCTTATTTGCATGTTTCTTTCGATCAATCAGGATCGAGTAATTTATTGAATGTGCTATAAGAATTTATCAATCGAAAGTGAGTTATTGGTACTTAAGACATTATTTTGTTTCATAAATCATACCATTTTTGCTATAATGAAATTTTGGGGCTGAGGAATGAGGTCAAAACAATTGTTTTCTAGATTTAGGTAGTGAATTAAAACGGGACATTCTTTACTATATCCATGGAAATTTTAGTCTCCCACACAGCCGCTTTCATTGTTGTCACGCAACTTTCTCCCCTGAGTAGGGGGAGAAAGCGTTGAGCGATGACAGTGAAAGCGGCTGTGTGGGAGACTATGGACATTTTGGTAGATACTAGACTTTCGCAAATTCCGCCGCCCGCTTTGTGTTTTTTTTCCACTGTCGCTCGCTCGCTGCGCTCGAATTAAAAAACTCCAGGAAAACAAGAGAGGTCGACTTGAGGCAAGTCTATGTAGATACTTGAGTGCGAAATCTAGGATTAGACGTCCCGAGGTGCATGTTGGGTACCGGATAACTACCAGTCCTGTGATTGGTCCCCTTCAGATGAAAATTGTTCTGACCTCTTGCCTAATGAGCCAGCTATCTGCTACATGGGAGGGGGAAATGACGCTCATATCTAGCATGCTTATGACCATAATAATAATAATAATTGGTATTAGAAAATTAATGGTTCCGACTCACCTTAGTTACCGTTGCTATGTCCCAGAAGCTCGACAAAGTGACTAAAATATCTCAGAATTTAAAACTCTGATCGCGACAAAAGATTTATTATGATTCGCTTCAATTTTCTAATTTCCTAGTAAAATAAAATAAAATTGCCTCGTAATCATTGCAGTATACTCGAGCTTTAAAACAGATTTCTTTGTAGTTGCCTTTGTGCACAAGGGACAAAGTTTTAATTCTATCATATGCATTAGGAAAACTGGTGATTGTTTTGCTATTGACCGTGGATCGAGTCGGAACCATAAATCTAACTAGGGAAAAAAGTATTTATTCTTTGAATTAGGGTAGCTAGCTGCACGTCTCGAAAAAGAAGGGGTAATTTTCTCAATCAGTTCTATTGGGTATCTATATTTGGCACGTCTCCGAAAAAGAAGGGGTAATTTTCTCAATCAGTTCTATTGGGTATCTATATTTGGCACGTCTCGAAAAAGAAGGGGTAATTTTCTCAATCAGTTCTATTGGGTATCAGTCTATATTTGGCTATAATTTTCTGTGGCTAGGGAGGAGGGGATCGTCATGGTGTACTGCACTGGGGAGGGGTGGAGTACGTTGACTTTGTAACTCTGTCCAACCATTAAAAACGGTTTTGCACCATCACGTGCCGGCGCCATAATCCAGCTTGGACTTCCTCTGGTCCGTATGGCAGAACAATTAAATCCCTTTGCTCTCGGGAATTGAAATCTTTCTTAGGTAAAACGATCGTATTGTTCCTGCCATCTAACATGGCTGCCTTCACGTGATGGTGCAAAGCATCTATTGGGTTTTTGAATACATAAACTTTTTAAAAAATCTTTGTGAACATGATGAGATTAAAAAATAAAATTACTGGTAAAAACGCCAACGTTGGTTGTCTTTCTGGTTCAATTTTCTTTCTATCTTTTTCCAATATTTTACTTAAGTTTTTTTTATTCTTTCATATAAAGCTTTTTAGTTGAATCTCTGATAAGATGCTCGCAATAAAAAGCTATTCTTACAATGATACTGCTTTTAAAAGCAGTTTTATCGTTCCAAAAAAAGGGTTTTTTAATCACCGTTTCCCTGTATCGGTCTTCCTGTGTACAGCGTCTTCTACGCATGTTCACTTCGAAGGAAAAAGCGAAAAAATCCGGATAGAAAAATGTCCTTGTTACTGTCCAACAATTCTACCATACAATTTGAAGAAAAATGGCACGATTTACGACCTACAGTTAACAAACTACTCAAACAGAAGCCTGTTACCTCTGAAGAATGGCAGAGTTTATTCTGGTAAGTTAAATTTTCTCCGAATTTCTTGGGTTTTTAGTTTTTCCAAAAACTTCGTGACAAAAAATAAATGGAGTTTGTTTGAGTCAAATTTATCTTTCTTTCTATAAATTTTACTAAATTTTACTAAATTTTACTAAATTTTTCTGTCTTGAGGAACTTCGATTAAGGTCTGAAGTTGTGTAATAAAGCTTTGTATCACTAGGAATATAAGTGTTAATGGTTATTTTCGATAGTTTGTTGCATGCCGACATGTAAGCTTGTTGATTATTCAAAATTTTTAAATTTAAAATCTCTAAAAGTTTTAACCCATGTTAACTAAAGCTTTAAAAATATACTACATTTATTAGTTTCTTGGTCTAGTTGAAAAGTTGTTTTACTTGGGTCAATGTTTTTTTAAATTATTAATTTTTTCGTTTTGAGGACAAATATAATAATTTGTTTTACATTTTGACATCTTGTAAACTGTCAAGCATGGTACAATACATTCAAGTGATATTTTTAGTGTGAATAGAGTGATGATTCTATTGTTTTCCTAGAGGAAAATTTTCTTTCGTTGCATTAATACCACTACTATGTTGGATTTTTTCCTTTTATAATAATCATCTTTTATTTGTTACTGCAGGCTGATTATTCTGGCAGCTTTCGCTGATGTGGGCCTGCTTTCACTCACACTCACTGCCACTATATTTACTATTTTATGCACACAACCCTCCACTCACAAAAACCCTTGTGGCAAGGCAGAGAAAAACTCATCATACAAATTCAATTCACATGTAGTGTCCACAAGGCTTGAACAGCTGTGCTACGAGGGGTGTCATACATGGACATCATAATCGCTACTAGAGGCGCTTTCTCATTACTTTCAGAGTTACCCCATTGATATGCATTGCAATAATTTTTTGAAAACATATTTTCTTAAATAGATATTTCTTGAAACCCATTTTTGGCTTATATTTACATAGTGTATGTATTTGTTTTTATCCTACACTGTTGAAAGTTCAGGTGAACAGATTGGGATATTCCAGTATTATTATGTATAATTATATAGTTTTACCTAGTATTTTAGTATACTATAGTAATATAGAACTGTTGTGTTGTTACAGGGATATACATAAAGTGTGTAACTGGGTAGATAAAGGGTCGCAGAAAGTCTACAAGGCGCTTAAAGATGAAGTATTGATATTCATCAGACAAGTACAGGAGGTAAAGCTTACGTAATACTATAGTTTTTAGTTCTCTGTTTCTTATAATAATAACAATGATAATAACAATAATAATAATAATAACAATAATAATAATAATGCAAAAACGCTTATACAGCGCACTATACAGTCTCAGTGCGCTTTACACAATAAAATATATGAACATAAAATAAACAGTCATAGTGTTAGTGTTTTTATTTGGGAAAAAGGTAGGTCTTTAGCTTAGCTTTAAATGTTGTCAGTGAGTAACTGGTTCTTGATATCTTCAGGAAGAGTGTTCCAAAAACACTGAGCAGCATACTCAAAGCATATATAAAGCGTAGTTTCTTACAATGAAAAGGATTATATTTTTCATTGTCAATATAATTAAAATATAGGAATACTTACAGATGCACCTTACTCAATTGTCCCAGGATTGTAGACATTGGTTGTAGACCATGACATTTTTCCATTTCTTGTTGTTAAACTGGGCTTAAAATAATGGCTGACCAGTCATGATCAAAGGCCAAATTAGTTTTAGCTTAGTCATACCTTATTTTTGGCTAAACCTTAACAAAGATTTTACCAGACAAGTCCCAGTTCTGGCTGGACATTGTCTGATTTCCAGCTGCTATTTTAAGCCCTGGTTAAATTCAGTTGAATGGGAAATTTATAACTGTTTTGATAGAGTGCAAACAATTAATCTGTGAAACACTAATTACTAAATAGTACAAAATAGTGCTAATTAAACAATAGAAAACAATGGAATTTGCATGAAATTGTGCTATTTAGTATTACTAAAGTTTCACAGATATATTGTTTGCACTCTATTGGGATCCTTGTGGTTAAGACACAGGAACCCTACAAAAATACAAAATCAGTGTTACCTATGAATAAACTTGTTATATTGTTTGCTTGCAGAGAGTCCTAAGACATGAAGATGATCATTCACTTCTCAAAGCTTACAATGCAGAATGGAAAAAGTTCTTTACCCAGTGTGATTACCTGCCGAAGCCGTTCAGTACTCTAGAATCAAATCTACAGGGAAAGACTGGAAGTGGTGGCAGCAAAAGACCTCTGTCTGATGGAGTCACTGTACAAAAGGTAGAATCAAAGTCAGAACTGGCTAACTCACAGATCAAACCCTAAAACAACCTCTAGGCTGATCAAAGTCAGGGCTGCCTAACTCTCAGATTGAACCCTGAAACAACCTCTGGGTTGATCAAAGTCAGGGCTGGCTAACTCACAGATTGAACCCTGAAACAACCTCTGGGTTGATCAAAGTCAGGGCTGGCTAACTCACAGATCAAACCCTGAAACAACCTCTGGGCTGATCTAAGTCAGGGCATGGCTAACTCAAAGATCMAACCCTGAAACAACCTCTGGGCTGATCTAAGTCAGGGCATGACTAACTCACAGATCCAACCCTGAAACAACGTTTGCGCTGATCTAAATCAGAATACAGTTAATTATCTAAACAAACTTTGAGCTGATCTAAGTCTAGGAAGATTATAATTATTGGAAGTTTATAAATTGTAGTTCTAATAATTTTTTAAAATTATCTTGTCAGTTAATGTTGGATGCATGGAACGAGGGTATATTCTCAAGCATTAAAGGTCGTTTACAGTCAAGTGCAATGAAGCTGGTTCATGCAGAAAGGAATGGAGAAGCTTTTGATTCACAACTAGTAATAGGTGTTAGGGAATCTTATGGTAAGTAAATAGACCTTGAATGAATGGATAGCCCATTATACAGATTTCACCCATTTGTCAGGGTGTGGGAATACCAATATATCCAATTTCCAACCTTTATGATATCAATATATATCCAGAATTTTAGAAATGATTGGGATTCCATAAATTCCAAAGACAAAATACTTTTTACCCATTAACCAGATAAATATTTAAATATTTATTAAATTTATAATAATTGTAAGGTTGTTGATAGCAGTTTATCTATTATAATGATCCCAACCTACAATGAAACACTTAATTGAGATAAATATTGTCGGAGAGACTGAATACCAGAGTTAAAAATGCCCTCTGATACCAATATACCCAAAAACTCTTTCTGGGTCTGTTCAATCAATCAATCAATCTTTATTTAGTACCAAAATTGCAAAATTACACATACTAAACAACGAAAATACAGAAAATTGGTACAAGSCAGCTGTAATAGCCATAGGCTAAATGAGACGGTTGGCAAATTATAAGATTACATGTACATTAACGTATGATTTTGGCCAATAGAAGTATACAAAAGAAAGAAAAAGGAGAGGGAGAAAAAAAAGAGAAAAGGAAAGAAAAGTGGCCTAATACATGTGTCGAAGTATAATGTTTCTATTTACAATGAATGGTGAAACATCAGATATAATATAAACGAGCTAGATATGATATATATCTATCTATCTATATATAATATATACATATATAGAATAGCCTTAAAGTTTTGTGGAGAGGGCAAGGAGTTGTACTCATACATATCCACTAAATTTACGTCGTTTGAGTCAATTGATTTACGATAATGTAATCTATTTCATCATAAAGAATTATTCAAATAAATGTAGATTATTGTAATCTAATAGACCATTTCACAGATCCCGCGGCTCAACCTCAGCCTCGTCAGCGTGTAATATATTCTTTAGAAATTGCCTACAACCTGTGAAATTTTTAAGTGTTTCAATTGTTCGTTGATGTGTAAATTCCTTACATTACTGCGGACTGTAGTCAAATTCTAAAGAATAATTACATGCTGACGAGGCTGAGGTTGAGTAACAGGATCCGTGAAATGGCTTATTACGTAAAATTCTTTTGATGTTTTATTTTTTTTGCCAGTGAATCTAAGTTCAGATATAACAGACAAATTAAAGATTTACGTAGAAAACTTTGAGAAAGCTTACATTGATGCCACCAGAGAGTTCTACAAGACTCAAGCTTCTGCATACCTCCAGGAAAATGGAGTTCAAAACTACATGAAATACGTAAGTATGGTGCAGTAGCGCACTTTCCCCCCACCCCTGGGGTCTTGGGTTTGATTCCTGGAAATCACATGTGAGTTTGTTTGAAATAGATTCCCTAACACCTAGCATTGTAAATTTTTTATACGGCTCCCAGGAAGAGCAATTGTAAATATTGTAAATTGATTGATTGTTTGGCTCTCCCTTGATTCGAGGGTTTTTCTATGGGTTGTTCAGTTTTCCATCCTCCACAAAACCTAATGAGCTAAATTYCAATTTGATTTGTAATTTAGCTGTGCCCTGACTTTAAATTCACCTTTCACCTCTGGGGGCTCAGGTTTGCTTCCTGGAATTGGTACCACATGTGAGGGAAACAAGCTAGGGTGGTACTGAATATGTAGCTGTAGTGCTTTGTGTCTTACCTCTGGGGTCTCAGGTTTGCTTCCTGGACTCAGCACCACATGCGAAGGAAACAAAGATGGTACTGTACGTACATGTAGCAGTAGTGCTTTGTGTCTTACCTCTGGGTTTGCTTCCTGGACTCCGCCCCACATATGAAGGAACTTTAACGGTAGTGTACCTACCTTTCACCCCTGTGTTCTTTTGGGTTTGGAGTGAACTATTTAATGCAATTTTTGTTTCTCAACAGGCTGAAACAAAACTAAAGGAAGAAGAAGAGAGAGCTAATAGATATTTAGAGACCAGAAAAGGCTGCAACTCTGTTAGTGCAGTAAGTAGTAAGGAGGGTCTGAGGTGGACTCTCAGAGATAGGTTGATATATTATGTGCTCCCAGGAAATATCCATAACACAACCTCCACCCCCCACAGAGGGGAATTTGAATTCCCAAGGGGTGGGGAGGGTCTGAGGAGGGTGTACTTCCAGAAAATATCCATACCTCCCCCATAGAGGTGGATTTGGATTTCCAAGGTATGGGGAGGATTGTGTAGTCCCAGTAAATTTCCATATCACTCAACAGAGGAGGATTTGAATTTCCAAAGGCAGGGAGGGTCTGAGGAGGGTATATTGTGTAGCATCTAAACATGAACAGCCATTTTTAATACTAAATTCAACATTGTTTTCATTTGTCTTCAGTTGACAGAATGTTGTGTGAATGTTTTAGTCGGTGACTTCAAAGAAACCATCCTTGCTGAGTGTCCAGGGATGATCGCTGATAACGAAACAGAAAGTAAGTATTGTTACTATTATTCTCTAGGATACCTGTGTCACTAGACACGCTGTCACACTGTCACACTATCACACTGTCACACTGTCACACTGTCGCACTATCACACTGTCACACTGTCACACTGTCACACAATGTTGGTGGTGCATTCTTTGGCATGCGAGGGCTAGTTAGCATACTCTTATAGCTTTACATGGTGATACTGTCCATATTTCAGCTCAATGCATGGTGGCATGTTAATTTGCTTGAAAAAAAAACTTTTATTTTCTGCCTGAATCATCCTGAAGTGCTTGAGTATGAGGCTGAGTGAGGGCAAATCTATTGTTCCAAAATGATGATGGAGCGTGTTAGTGATGAGGATTTATATAGTTATCTATGAGGTTTTTACGGGAGAAAATTAGACGACACTCATATCTAAACTACTGATTTTCTGTGATGTCCAATCTTACCCACATTTGAGTTTTGTGACTGATAACACAAATGTCTGAGAAAATCAAAGTTAATGATATATAGGCCAATGCAGCAGTCATTTTTATTTCCACAAGAAAAAATCCTTGAATATATTAGTGGCATAGTGGTTCACCGCTTTCCTCTCACCGCTGTAGTCCGGTTATAAGCCCTGGCTCAGACTGGAGTTTGTTTGATGTGTTTTTCTCTCCCTTTTGACAAAGGGTTTTCTACTGGTTGCCTGGTTTCCTCCCTCGGTAAAAATCAACATGTGAGTTGATTGTTGTTTGTTGTAAATATAGCATGTAGTGGTATTGCATGAGGAGAAAACCTCATGGAAAAGCACTGTACAGGATTCAAGTGGTGGTTGTCAAATATATTTATATATTTGAATGTGTGGTTGCATGAGAAAAAATCTATTTTTCCAACCTAAATAACTACCATATATAAGGCACTTTTTGCTCAAACATTTTTCCCTTTTAAATATAGAATTACTTCTGATGTTCAAACTAATGGATCGAGTTCCGGGTGGTGTAGACCCAATGATTCAAAGTCTAGAGTCGTACATTGTAACGACAGGTCTGGATGATATGATGGCAGCAGCCGAGACCATCACCACGGTAACCAATCATAGAGTATTAATGTGTGTTTTGTATTATGTATATCATCACTGAGAGAATTTAATCTAGTGGTTTACTGTTTTTTAAATGTATAGGTTATATTATCATCTGTTAGTATCGAATTATTATCTAGCTATTTTTATCTGATATTACTAATAAAAGAAAGAAAACTACTACTGAAGAAATAGAAAATGTGCGCGCGTGCTGTGTTCAGTCATAAAGCATGTGGGGGTTGGCAGAGAACGAGAGAAGTGTTAGGAGAAGGACGACGCGTAGCGGAGTGATTCTGGACACTTCTTGAGTGTTCTGCCAATTCCCAAGTGCTTTATAACGGCAAACAGCACAGCAAGCAAGTTTTTTATTTCTTTTATAAAATACAAATTGCAATAGTCGTTATTTTAGATAGGAATGACGCAATGGAAAGTGTGCGTGTGTGTCATAAAACACTCTCTCCAAACCAATCAGAATGCGACATTCATAACAGTTATTTTATAAAGGGTAATAACATGTCGACAGCAATATACATTCTTAAAAGGATTCTATTTATATGTTTATTGTTTGTTTTATTTCTTCTTCGTCATTTTATTCATAAATTATGTGCATTTCGTTTTTATCTCTGCTTCAGGATTCAGAGAAATATGTCGAGCAGTTGTTAGGGCTGTTCAACAGGTTTAGTAAACTGGTAAAAGAAGCATTTAATGATGATCCACGTTTCTTGACCTCTAGAGACAAGGTAGAGTATTAATACCACGCTAATCTGGATAAATTTTGTAAGCCCATTTTTTTAATGTTTGGGCCTCCCATCCACACTGAAACTGAATTTTCAGTCACTGAAAATGATACATTTTGAAAAAGCTCTCAAAGTAGAAATTTTGAAAACACTGACGAGGCACTTTAGTGTGGAGGACAAAAACAAAACTGATCCCACCCCCTCTGTTTCACCTCAGAGGAGTTTCCAGGGCTATCTTAATTGCCTTTGTATGCTTATTATTGTTTTCTTTGGTTTGAACCAGTTTTTGGGCATCTTTTTCTAATAGGATGTTTGCCAGTAGCATCAATGACCTCTACTACCAGAATCCCTTGCACACTTTCTTTCTTTCTTTTCAGTTAATTAGCACCAAATAATTGTCTTACTATTCTCATGAGGGAATACAAATTTAAATAAGAAAGAAAATTTCACAAAGCACCTTGTTAGTGGGAGTCAAATGACACCATCATGCTAACGTCCTATTCTACTTCTACTACTACTAATACTAATGCTAAGGTATTGCTTTAGCATTTGATGAAGACATGTTCAACTAATTTGGCAAATAAAAGTAGCCAGTTGATATATGTATATATATTATATATATATATATATATRATGTTATAATTGTTTGTCTTCTGTAGGCATTCAAGTCAGTAGTCAATGATATAACAATATTCAAGTTAGAACTACCTAGTAAATCCAAACTGTAAGTCATTGTAAGACTATTTTATGTGCTAGCTTTGATTTCTGGGTGTTTAGCTTCAGTCAATCAAAAATGCCAACTTAGACCATTTGATATTTGATTGATGGAAGCCAAAAGCCCAGACGTTGTCTTGCTGTTTATCTGGGTTGCATATTTATGAAAGTGGGACCAGTATAAACTAATCAAAGTGAGTGCAAAAATGTACTGTATTCACACTTTGTTCCCAAGTACCGTGCTCCAGAGTACAATTCTTGCTGAACACTAATGTATGACGTTACAAGGGACGGGTACGAGGGACAGGTATGAGGGACGGGTATGAGGGACGGGTACGAGGGACGGGAATGAGGGTAGGGTACGAGGGTAGGGTACGAGGGTAGGGTACGAGGGTAGGGTGCGAGAGATGGGTACGAGGGATGGGTACAAGGGACAGGTATGAGGGACAGGTATGAGGGACGGGTACAAGGTTGGGATCTTGTATCAAGCCTGAAGGGTCTGACCACCATAAGTGTGAATGGATGAATATACCCTTTAAATATATTTTTCCACTCATTTTTGCCATCCACTTCCTCTATTTCAGTGGGGGTGGCCTGTCAGTCAAACCTCAACCAGAGTCAAGATGTCCAGAACTTCTTGCCAATTACTGCGACATGTTGCTAAGGAAAACACCGTACAGCAAGAAGCTGACATCAGATGAGATTGAAGCCAAGCTAAAAGATGTGGTATGCTTAGACTGATTGTTTTTTTTAATGAGGACAGTTCTTTCTAGGAGTTCTGAAATTGTAAGGTTTTGAAATACTTCAGTTTTGAGTGTTCTGTTGCTCAGGGTTAGTCTTGATTTTGTGAAGAATATTCACATGTTCCAGTCAAGATCCATCAAGTTTCAAAGTGTTTATATTGTTGAAGTTGTACATTCTTTACTTTACCATTGGTATTTGTGAATATTTAGACACTGATTCGCGGCTAAGCCTGAGAAAATGAGTCTGTAATCAAGGAACACAGCGGTAATTTGGAACTCAAAGATGGTGTATTCAAGGTCCTACTTTAAAATCCCAGTCATAAGCCTTGGGCTAATACCCATTTGTAAGGGATTTTGATGGCCTTCTGACTTATGGGCATATAAGTGGAGGGAAAAAATATTTTGGATGATAGAAAATAGTTAATTCTTTCATTTGTTTTCCCAATCAATTTATTTGTCATCAATGCAATAAATGATACCAGAGGTGGGGTAATATCCAGGAAGGCTTATAACTGGAAGGATATTCATGTTAGCAGATTTATAAAACACCAGTTATAGATCTCTGAAACAACCTCTTAGCTGACATAAATCAGGGTACAGCTTATCATTTTTTAAAACCATATTATGACCACATCCTATTCTATGAAACTACAGTGTGGTAAATATTATATTTGTTTTGTTTCAAAGCTTTGCCTTTGTTTGTTTGCTAATAAGCCTGTTTATTATCTCAGTTATTGGTTCTGAAATACGTGGTTAATAAAGATGTCTTCATGAGGTCAGTGAAACGAATTTTAACATTTTTTAAGCATTAAATGTAAAAGTCAAGAGTCGATAGAGCACAATGCAGTAAAACCATGAAATAAAAACAAAGTTGATACTGACAAATAGTAGCTATTTAGTGACTGATAGTTCGTATCACTCAACCAGAACATTCTTTACATAAAAGACACAAATGGTCTCTTGTGTATTTGTCTTTTAATAATAATAATAATAATAATAATAACGGGGTTCTTATATAGCGCATTTTACATAGTCTCAATGCGCTTCACAATCATGACCAGTGGAGGACTTTACGGGCTGCGTATTTAGGTGCTAGTAGCAGCCGTGCAGCTTACAATCATGAGTAATTTGTTAGTAAGTTAGTATTAGTGCCTCCAGATTGGGATAGGCTGTTGAACCGGGAGACAATCCCCTACTCTTATACGAATAATTCAACAGGTTCTTTTATGTCCCCCATTTACGGTTTTAAGTCCTTGTCCGAGAAGACTGTAGGGAATGTTCTGGTTGAGTGATAGTGACTAGTAGTAACTAAATAACTACTATTTGTCAGTATCAACTTTGTTTTCATTTCATGGTTTTACTGCATGCATGCTATGAAATATGTAGTGCAAGTTTTTATTCATCTGTGTCCTCCCATCCTTAGTTACTGTTGCTATGTCCCACAAGCTCTTCAATACACATCTTTACCTTGGGTGTAATGTTTTCCCATTTCAGACCATGTGTCATTTTCTTGAGGATAAGCTGCTTTGTTTAAGTTGTATCCATTTTCGTGTGTCTTCTCATATGCCACCGTTAAACAAA